ATCTGATAATCCCAAATAAAAAAGTGCATTTCTATTTTGTTGTAGAGAGATGTCACCGCCAAGATCAAGGGGAAAGTTACTGGTCAATCTTGTGAAATCTAATACAAAAGAAGTTTTTAATGAAAATGATGGACCTGTTGACTCAAATAAACCTCAAGATCCCCCTGCACTCGATATGAGTACTGATCTAGATTTACACAATTCTGTCGGATTACAAAAGACTAGGTGTAATAGTCCGTCGTATGAAGTATTACCAGAAATTTTTTCAATGGATAGCATTAATTCACCAGTAATTATTGAATTACTGGATCATTTAGATACAAATATTTTACCTGACCCTAATATTAGGTCTTTACCTATGAAATTGCCTTTCTTCAGTACTGGTCATTTCAAATAAAAAAAAGTTTGTAATGGCTCTGTATTCTTAATTCAAATTAATTTTGTTTTAAAACCATGACATTCTATTTACAAACTCAGTCTTTTGTTTTTTGATTAGCGTTGTATTTTCATTACATTTGAACATTTTTCGTCATAATGAATACTTTAAAAATTCGTGTAATTATGGAATATGAGTTCCGTCGTGGCACCAACGCGACACAAACGGCACGTAACATCAAAAACGTTTACGGAGAGAACTGTACAAACGAACGCACAACCCGTTATTGGTTTTCCCGGTTCCTTTCTGGAAATTTTGACTTGAAAAATGAAGCTCGTGGTCGTCCGGAGACTTTGGTTAACAATAATGAATTAAAGGCGATTGTGGAAGCTGACGAAACTCAAACTACAGCTGAGCTATCAGCAGCTTTTAATGTAAGCACCAAAACAATATTAATCCATTTGCGACAAATTGGCAAGGTAAAAACTCTTGATGGATGGGTGCCCCACGACCTTAACGATCGCCAGCGCAACGTGCTCAATAGGCAAAGAAATGAAGGAATTTTGTTACGTGCGACGAAAAAAAATGGATTCTGTTCGACAATCGAAAGCGCTCAGCAAGTTGGTTAGACCCTGGTTCAGCACCAAAGCAATGGCCTAAACCAAAAATGACCCCTAAGAAGGTGATGGTCACTGTTTGGTGGTCTAGTGCGGGTGTGATTCACCACAGCTTTTTACAAAACGGCATGAGCATTAATGCAGATGTGTACTGTGAAGAACTGGAGAGAATGATGGAGAAGCTTGCACATCTGCAACCAGCTTTGGTCAATCGGTCGTCCCCACTGCTCCTTCACGACAACGCGCGACCCCATACTGCGCAACAGAGTCTCCAAGCTGCAAGAGCTGGGGTTGGAAGCTCTCCCTCATCCGCCATACTTGCCAGACCTTGCACCTACCGACTATATCTTTTTCTAAAATGTTGACAACTTTTTAGTGGGTAAAAAATTCAATTCCTGAGAGGCAGTACAAAATGCCTTTGAAGAGTTTGTTGCCTCCCGTCCAGCTGATTTTTACAAGAAGGGCATCAATAAACTGCCAATGCGTTGGCAAAGATGCGACGATTGCATGGGTGATTACTTCGAAAAACAGAAATAAAAAAGTTTGAAAAAATAAGTACTTTCACTTATTGCATACAAAACGGCAATTTCATAGGTAAAGACTAAAGACCTATTAGTATGGTACCCTCATCAGATGCAATCAACCTTTTATTCCAGTCCATTGATGAAAGAAAACTGCAGTTTGTAAACGATGAACTAAATAATAATAAGGTCCAAACTGATATAGTTACAGATTTTTACAGAGAAAAAGTTTCCGTAGTTAGTGAAGAAGATAAAAATGAACGAAGTGAGATATTAGCTAATAAAAATTACGAAAATAGTTCAAACGCAATTGATGATAAGAGTCTGAATAAAAATATTTCTAGTCCTATTGAAGAAAGTCACTATCGCCCAACTATTGATGAAGAACTTGTAGAAGCCACTGTTAATGTTATGTATTAGTAGAATTGTATAAACACTGAAGACCCTAATTACCTACCCGAAATCAACGACGATGATTCTGAAAAGCTGTCATCAATATACAATGGTAGACCTAAAAAAGGACGCAAGAGAAAATTCGTCGACCAGAACAGCAGTATAACAAAAAAAAAGCAAATAACAATCAGGATTACTTTAATGCGAAAGGAGTAAAGGTGTGTGCGAAGGAGTTTAACAGTAGCGATTGTAAATGTCCTTTGAAGTGTACAGAGAAAATATCTATAGATCAGCGTAAAAAGGAATTTGAGAAATTCTGGAGTTCTGGTTCTTATGAAACTAGATGTGCGATATTACAGGGTGCCGTTATTGAAGTTAAAAAGAACAGATCCTATTCCATACATTCTAAGCGAGCTTTTAGTAGAAAATACAGAATGTGTAATATTGCAGTCTGTAAAAAGGCTTTTTTAATTACTCTTGGCATTAGTCAATCAAAAATTTTATTTTGTTGAAAAAAGATTATTCTGAGGAAAAGAAAAATATATTTCTTGAAAGAAGAAGAAAAATGTATATTCAATTCTGTTTTTTGTTACATTAGATAGATGACTTGTTTATGAAGTTTAGGTTTCTTGTATTTTTTATATTAATAAAAGTTTAAATTAATATATTCAGAGTTTTACTTAAAATTATTTGACGAACTATATAAGTGAAAACATGTGTCTATCAATATTCATTTATGTTCCTTAACATGCATTCATTGTCATTCAATGACTTGGTACCGGCATTTTGCAGAACAGTGTTATGTTCCTTAATTTAATGTTTCGATTATTACAGCGTGTTCCATATTTTGCAATATGCAGTAATCTCATTTATTTGGAAGAATATACTAGCTTGTTGTCTTTTTGTAATAGCAATCTATTTCTAACCCATTATTATTTTTATTAAACAGAGAAACGAACAGTGGATGGATATTTCTTGAAGCAAATTTTATAAAAATAGATTTAACATCTTAAGACGCCATTTTCTCAAAACAAAGTTGATGAGGGTTAACACATTATTGCTTATCTGCATCCAATTATAAAAGTTTTCTTGACATAAATTGAAAGTAGGGTATGTATACAACAAAACTATTGTATCATAATTTTAAGCCAGTATAGGTTACAAAAATGGAAGGTACATAAAACTTTCAAAGGTTAATTACACCAGGATTATTGGGATAAAGGAACACACTAAATATACACGTATGCACAACTTCACGCTACGGACCTCAAAGACAGAAGTAGCAAACTAAAAAAAAAAAAATTTAGTTTGGCAAAAAAATGTTTCTAAACTTACCGAGAACTGTGCAGTCTGAATTTTATTTTAATTTAGAATTTTGGTGTCTCAAAGATTTTCCTTGCCTCAGGGATGATGGTACGATGGGCTGTAAATGCAATGAGGGTAATTATTACATGCGTACTGCACCCGCACAACAAATTAACGTCCTGGGGAGTTTCGGATGTACCGAAGTGTCTCCTCCAAAGTGAATTCCCCCTGGCACACTCACACAGCACACACACAGAGGTCTGGGTCGTTAGCCAAACGTTGGTCGCCAATTTGTAACCGCTGAACCTGTCAGGCGGTCTACTCACCGGCTTACCCAGCGGAGATATTCACGAGATTTGGGTTACCTCAGGGCGCCTTGTCGACAACAGAGGGGTACGGATATGTGTGCGTGTGGGCAACCTAAAGGACTCTTCAGAGAAACACAACTTACACCTCAGTCATACATACATGTATATTTCATTCTTAATACAGAGTTATAAACTTAAAATTGAATATTTATCAATAGTAGGTATTTCAAAAAAGATCCCCCAGCGGCGCTCGTCAAGGCCGTGCAGATGTTGCTAGAAGCCTCTTCGTCAGCAATCCTGCAGGTTATTTCCACACCAGCCCGAGTCGGCTATTTATATTAGGTAGGTAGGTAGGTTAGGTATTTATATTAGTGAAATTAACAAAATTACGTGACCCTGGAATGAGGCTGACCGCTTGCTTGTGAGCCGCGTGACTGCCAGTGTATCAGATGGTACTTAGGAGCTCCATTACGCATAAGAGGGCCACAAACAAAAGAGCACGCCGTCTGAGAAGTATCTCTTGACCCGAAATCTGGAGCCCACTGAAGTGGGTACTTAGGACACAGAATTTACTAAAAATGGATTAACAGACAATCAAAATGCTACTTCAGATCAGAAGACTAGAATCACCAGAGTGTCCCTTGCGGCTGGAAGCCGGACTTATATATGCTCGGTTTGTGAAACTTCTAGAAAGAATCCCTTCTTTATTTAGTCATGAATGGGAGCTCAATCAAATTAAATTTATCATTGAGGCTAACTCGACTTAAATTCAATGGTACCCGCTTCCTACCATATCAGGACACATTTAACACCAATACAATTCGACAGGATAAATTATCACTACGACATACCGAAAAAACACGACATCTAGTGGTCCAATGGCGGACGAAGAGACATCAATACTATAGTTACAATCTACTTTGAATAAGCCAACCATAACCTACAATGAAATAAGTGCGACGCGGGGCGACAGGTGTCACTGTTGACAACTCCGTACGCAATACAAATATAATGGATAAATAACTGTTACATACTTTAACTTCTCTCCATTTCAAGGGGATGTAATTGAAGAGTCTTGGTGCAACGAATGAATCGGTTACAAGAATGTGTCCGCTTATATTGGGCCACTTGACATTCTAACTTAGGTGGGTAAACCTAAATATATTACACCCACCCACCTTAAATAATACATCATTACTTTCTAAATTGTACTAAGACACATTATTTTCTTAATTCTAGACTTTTGTATTCATACATTAAATAAGGTACACACTACATAAAACTACTTCTTACGAATTATAATTTTTTTATCATTTACATTTATCACATACGTTACATTACAACATTATCTTAGTCTTTTACATTTGCATCTGGGTTGCCTTTTTTTAGGCGACACGCCCGTAAGGAACGGCGGCGGACAACTTCTGGAACAGGATCCTCAGATTGAGGAAGTATTACACACCCCTCAGGACTAGAAACATTAGTGCGAGGAACTGAACCAGAAGTTGACACCGACGGCAACTTCTCGACAATCGCCGCTCGAACCGGACTTAACTCCCTCACGCTCCGAGGGCCTTGTGTCTCCCCAGCAACTGACGCTGGTATCACCTCGGATTTTTCGGAACGTTCCGCTTCCAGAGAACTCCGTTCTGATGTGCTTGTCGGACAAATTAAAGAGCTTTCCCGATCGCTGTCTTAACTGGTCAATATGTCTATGAGCTTCCCTACCCGACAAATCCATGACTTTATAATCCGTAGTACCCATTCTATCCACTACCTGCCCTGGACTCCATTTTTCATTTCCCCTATATTGTCTCATCGATATTTCCTCCCCTATCTCTAAAGAACGTTTAACGTCCGTTCCTAATTTCTGTTGTCGTTCTTGAGCTTTTATAACTTTATTCTCCCTGTTTGGCCTGAACGCGTCTAATTTTGTACGTAAATTCCTACCTAGCATCAATTGCGCCGGACTTTCCCCTGTAGAACAGTGCTCCGTATTACGATAGTGCTGTGGGGGAATTGCCACCACATTAATTCCCAGGTTTGTACCGGGATCCTTATCCAGTCAGGTAGGTAGGACGTTTAAGAAAAAAGTATCAATACACTGAGGTGGAAGTCGAAAAATGAACGATATTAGTTTACGTTCCAACAACTATATTTTAAAAAGAAACTTTACAAAATTAACAGATATTTAGATAACAACTCGATACAAAAATAATGAGCGGAGTGCGTAGGTAGGTCCGTACATTGCCGGTCGCTAGGCCGGTGCGACGTCACACGCCATCCTTTTGTTTACTGCCTCGGGTGTATGGTCCAAGGTGCGAAAGTTGAGCGGAGCTAATTACTTCGTAGGATGTGGTGTAAGTAGGTACGCCACAGTGCAAAAGGAAGGTATTTACAAATATATAGCGAAAATAGCAGGAGTTGATCGATTTATTACTGCTCATAAACACATACATGGCAGCAACTTTGCATGTACTTGTCCCAAGTTACATACCGTCACTAGCATAAAGTACTTGGGTGTAATCATGGATGATAAACTGTGTGTCGCACCACATATTGACCTACTACGAAATCGGAGATGTAAAGTT